GGAGTCAGTGGGGAAGCTCAAGTTTAATTTTTCTACTGTTTCATGCACTTGATAAAATGTCTAGCAAGATGGCTGTCTGCTGTACTTGACGGCCTCTGGTTTCGATTGCCCTGGGACATCTGGAGCCCACATCTCGCTGCGCAGCTGGTTTTGCTTTGCTGCTCTGAAAATGGGTGCTTTTTGCTTTGGTTTCTGCTGGAAGGAAAAGCTGCCCCCACCCAGCCCAGAGCCGGTTTCAGTTGAATGCGATCTCATTTGTCACTTCTCCAGCTCAGGCCTAATATAGAGAAATGCTCAGTGTGGCTTTCCCCCACTGGTGAAGTTGGCCAAGATAAGATCTACTGCCGATTATGGAGCTGGGTTTCTATCAGGGTTCCACTTTGAATTCAGCTTGTTGGGTGTCTTCCCAGAAACACTTAGTGAAGTCTACGGATGATTAGTGCCCTATAAAAGGTTTTTATTACATGCCATCTCCTCTTCCCTTTCTTGCAGTGCGTGCTGTATTTATGGAGTTTAAAGATAAATCATCCCAAAACATTGTTCCTCCTTCGAGGGAACCATGAGTGCAGGCACCTCACAGAATACTTCACCTTTAAGCAGGAATGTAAGTATCAGCGGTGTAAGGAGGATTGAAATACATCAATGTGTTTTGACCAGGTGTTGGGTCTTAATTTTTGTGCCTGCTAAGAGTGGTATCAGTGAGCTTGGGAGCTGTAAAAACCTGTCATCCTTTTTTCCTGCGTACGCAGCTCTTCTCCTGTTTCAGCTCCTGATTAAGAAAAAACCCCCCAAACCAAAGAAATATATAAGTCTGTAAAGTACTGAGTGCATGTTGATGTGGCCTTCTGGTTACAAAGAATGAGCGTGGATGGAAGAAATGCGAATGCATCTTCCCCGTCTCGCTGATGAGCCAGCCCCCCCCCCCCGACTTTCAGGCCCAGCAACATATAATTACTGCCAAATGACTTTCAGCTCCAGATTGTGCAGCTGGGATCAGTGATTACAATTGGAAGCAAATAAAGGATTTGTTCCTCAGTGTTTGCACTAGAGAGAATCATTACCTTTAAGATCGTTTTAGTTGAGTTAAAGATAGTTTTGTGCAGCATTTACATATTTTTAAACCAACGATGATGAAAGGTCGGGGAATTGACCCCTCTCCCCTGAGGATGACAGTCATTCCTCCAAGCAATAAAAAAAGTATACACCAGCAACGTGCAGCTCTCAATTAGGGGATAGTTGCTCAAGAACCCGACCTCAAGGAGTAGTTTCGGGCAAGGCCCAAGTCCAATCTGCAGTCCTGGATGCTGCCGGACAGGGTAAGGCTGATGGGTACCGAGATACTGGCATCTGTTTACTCAGAAATGAGTTGGAAACCACCAGCCAGCTCTCTGCTGGATACTGGAGCCATCAGATGGTGATAGATGAGCGCCCGTTGAGCTGGGCTCAGTTTGAACCAGAGAGCCAGAGGTGATGGGTTTTTATTTTTTCCCCTTTGGAAAACAGAAGATGCTGCCTTTCCACTTCCTAAATGGTAGCGTGCAACTGAAAAAACCTGTTAGTATCTCTGGAATAAAGCTGGAGGAAAGATAAACTTTCCATTCATGGCCTTTTTTTGGGCTTCAGAGGCAGGTTTTTTAGCAGTAACAGGGCTTTCTGGAAGACGGGGCCATGTTACCATGTCGCTGCCCCGCGGAGGGGCTGCAGGTGCACGGAGCCACGCGCTGGGCGCGGGGTGATCTCTGCTCCTGCTCGCTCTCCTAACGGGAAGCCTTGAGGAGAGATTTCTGAGCATGCTCGGAGGCTTGCTGTAAGAGCTAAGCTGCTTTTGGAAAGGCCGTGGTATCTGTTTAACGTATCGAAACACCCTCTTCACCTCTGCTAAGATGAGGCACCCAGCAGAGATTGCGATCGCTTGTAGCCCCGAAAGATCCCTCGTGAAAACTCATTTGACCACAGGCACCTTGGTCACAGTCTGACTCGAAGCACTCGTGTCCAGCCAAAAAGGCAATTCCTCTCTTAAATGGTTGTGTAATATTGCTGTGCCAAATTAAACAGCTGCTGCATTTCCCACTGTATAATCTGCCTAGCAGCTGAGGCTGGGAAGACTTTTTGAGGCTAGAGGTGCAGTATTAGTGTAGGAAAACAATGCAATGGCTTTATTAGTATCCCAAGTTCTCTCTGACAGTGACAAGACCTCTTTTCTGTGTTCATATTAGTGCAGGTGTTCTAAAAAAACAGCTTGAAGGGAGATGAATATTCTTGACCATGTCCGGATTACTGGGAAGCTTTTTTTCATCCACGTGTCCAGCGAGCGTTTCCAAGTCAGCATTTTCCCTAATACGCAGGTGCAAAGTTTGACTTGGTGGCCCACAGTTTCCATATCACCTTAGGAGTTCAGTTCCTTGAACATTATTTAGCAGCACTTTGGCTGATCAGAGGTTTGCTTGATGCTTCTTGTATCGTGTAGGCTTGGATGTGTGAATGACTTGCCCTTTAAAAAAAAAAAAAAAAAAGTTTTTTTTAAAAAAAAGAAAAGCAGCTCTGCCCTCAGCCTGCGCAGTCTTTGTTGAGTAAATGAATTCAACTCTTCCCTCTCTTCCTCCCCCTGGCCCCCATCTTTCCAGGTCGAATCAAGTATTCGGAGCGAGTGTATGATGCGTGTATGGATACATTTGACTGTCTTCCTCTTGCTGCCCTCTTAAACCAGCAATTTCTGTGTGTTCACGGAGGACTGTCTCCAGAAATCACGTGTCTAGATGACATTAGGAAAGTAAGTAATCTCCGTGGTCCTTTCCCTTGGCTTACAATTAATAGTGTGGTTAATGACCTGCTTGTGTTGGAGCTCCAGGTGGAGGCTCCTGTGCTCTGCCTGCCCACACCGTGAGTGTGTGTCACCGTGGCAGCTTTCACCAGCGTTGTCCTGAGTTTGTGTCCGTTTTTCAGTTAGACAGGTTTAAGGAGCCTCCAGCCTTTGGTCCAATGTGTGACCTGCTCTGGTCCGATCCATCAGAGGATTACGGCAGTGAGAAAACGCTGGAGCATTTTGCCCACAACACTGTTCGAGGCTGCTCCTATTTCTACAGGTAAGTGGTGTTTTAGGGGGCTCTGATGGACTGGAGCTTTTTCTCTCCCCTTACTCTAAGGCATGTGGGGAGATAAGTTGCTGTTCAGATCACTCTGGAACTTCACGGCATACCTGGCTCTGAAATAGCCTTCAGTTGGCTCTAATGCACAAAATCTTGTTTGTTTTTACACCTCCTGTAATATTGAGCTCTCTTTGGATATGTTGCTCTATGAGATTGTGATATTGGACAGCAGAGATGCTTCTTTTAGCTGGCAGGGTGCCTTTTGAGTGGTTTTCAGGCATTGGACAGTACCAGGAGCTCTAGGAAATAATCTTTTCCTGTCTAAAAGAGAAGCGTTTGTGCTGACAGACCACTTGTGGGCCGACTGATAGGGAGGACTTGGCACCAGGGATCTGTTTAACAGAATGCTTTGCAATTAATTTTTGAATGATGTAATATATACTGGCCTTGTTTGGGGATGCTGGACACAAACCAAATGGGTGCTGCCAGTGGCTGGTGCCTGAAACCAAGGCCATGGGTGCTGCCTGTTCTCCTTTGCTACGTGCTAACGTCTACTCACTTTTTGTTTTCCAGTTATCCTGCAGTTTGTGAATTTTTGCAGAACAATAGTTTGTTATCTGTAATCCGAGCTCACGAAGCCCAGGACGCTGGGTAGGTGCTACAGCCTCGTAGCTCAGCAGGCTCCCTCTGCATTCATGCTCTCCTTAGCCAGACCAGTGTGTTTAACACTTGACCTGTTTTTCAGGTACCGAATGTACAGGAAGAGCCAGACAACAGGCTTTCCCTCATTAATCACAATCTTCTCTGCACCAAATTACCTAGATGTCTATAACAACAAGGGTAAGGCTGGCAAAGCCAGGGCTCTGCTGCTGCCCTCGTGCACTTAGGAAACCCCTCTCCATCTTCCCTTGCCCGCTCTGTCCTCTCCTCTGGTTGCATTCTTATGCCTGAAATGAAAAAGAGCTTTATATGCTAAACTGGTGGCAGCTGGGGAGCTGGAAGTGGCTGGGTTCTCCGACTCAGAGACTTAATATATTACTGTAGCAATTAGCTGTCAAGCTATAAAGCCTAGAATAATGCTTTTGTTTCCAGCCACATGACAACTGAGTGCTGTTGATGAACGCTGCCATGAAAGAGAAGCTGCTAGTGTAGGCAAGCTTTTGACTTCCCTGTGCCCCCGAAACCATATGAGTAGGGTGGGGAACTTTCCTCAGCTGTGGGTTTTCCTACCCCTCGCTTTGGGTCTTGGCTCTGTGCTTGTCGCTTCTGATTTGTGTGAATTTTAACAGCTTTGTTAAATTGACCTTCACTAGAGCTTTAGTGACGAGTAAACTGAAAAAATGTTGCTTAAGCCTTCTCATTTTGGGGAGCTAGTAGTTTGATTCTGCATGAGTCCTGTCGATAATGAAGTTTCCTTAGCATAGGTACAACTCCCAGAAGTTGACAGTGTCTCTGGACATGTGTTGTCTTTCCTTTTTCTCTCCCAGCTGCTGTACTGAAATATGAAAACAACGTCATGAACATCAGGCAGTTCAACTGTTCCCCTCATCCCTACTGGCTTCCAAACTTCATGGATGTCTTCACATGGTCTTTGCCTTTTGTAGGGGAAAAGGGTAAGAGATACTTGAATTCCTGTTACGAGTTGCCTAGCGACTGGTTGTGGTACCCCGAGTGTTAGAAACCTGTCCCACAGGCTGCTAAATGTGCTGGGAGAGTGTTGTAACTCATTAACGCCAGATAGCACCGGAAAGCAGTTCAGGTTCAAGGAGATCTGCATATTAATCGGTAAAGTTCTTATGAAAATAATTGCTGATACCCATTTTAGCAAGTTTTTACTCATAAAACGACCCTTCCTTGCTATTTCTGCATTGCTGATGAAGTTGATCTTGGGTGGTGCAGCCCCATCTCAGAATTTGGAGCCATTTCTCTTGCTCTGGGTTGGCGACAGAGAAATTAAAATCTCCTGTTGGCTTGTGGCCCACCAAAAAGGAAGCATTCACTTCAGTTTAAAGGCTCATTTCCTTCTGAAGGAGGCGAGGCAGCTTAAAATATGACCAAGACTTTGCCTCAGCTTTTCAGCAAAAAGGTTTTTACATCTCCCGGTGAGTTTAAAATCCACCCCGGCCTTGTACGTTTGGAGTGTGACTTCAAGGTCTGAAGTGCCAAAGGGTTGTTTTGGTTTTTCTTTTGACTTTGAAGACCCAAAGGTTGAATTCCCCCATCCCAAAATTTGATGTTCTTGGAGCCAGGTGGCCCGTTGTGCAGGTCGGGGTGGGGAGGTGGGACCTTCAGCGAGCCCAGACTGTTCTGCTTGAGTGTTGGCACCCCGCTCCCCACGGCTGTTTCATCTGTGATGTGCTTGGACTGCATCCACCTCCTTGGCAGAAGGTGTAAAGTATGTCGTCTGCTCCGGGTACTGCTGCGAGGTACCAGCAGTTTGCAGCTAAAAGTATCTTTGGGCTTCCACTTCCAGAGTATAAATGACCTTGAAACGGTTTGCTTGTCCAGCTCGTCCTCCAAATACCTCTGTCTGCCAAATGCGTGCACCAGGCCTCGCTAATCTTCCTGTCTGTACTTCTTACAGTCACAGAAATGCTCGTTAACATCCTCAACATATGCTCCGATGATGAGTTGATTTCAGATGGTGATGAGACATTGGAAGGTAAAAAAAACGCTGTTACGACCGACCTGGTAACATGGGGGGGTGAAGGTGGGGCAAGTGCATATCAGTGCTTGATTTATAGCTGGATGCCCAGCCAGGGTCTCCAGTTCCTTTTTGGCCAACCCTTGTGCAGTTCTGGGTAGGGAACATTTTTTTTTTTTTCCCTTTGCTGTTCAGTCACAGAGAAATTAAATTATATTCACTGCGACAGACGCTTCTTGCCAGCTACTCTGGAGAATGGTTTCCTGCTCCTTACAGAGACTGCTTCCCAAGTGGTTATTTTTTCCCCCAATTCAAAATTTTCTGCACCAAAATATCTACCCAGTCTTCTCATCTGTTGCAGTGAACTGCTTTGTAAAGTGGCTTCTTGTGTCACCCCCCACCTCCCCCCCAAAAAAACCCAACAGAACATGGGTTTTGGCCCCGGCTTGAACCTATGCAGGAAAGGGGCAAATCAGCTGCTGAGCTGATCTGCAGTTTCTGTATTGGGGTGGTGGGGTGGAGAGTGAGGTGGTGACTAGAGGAAGCTGAGGCACAGCTGTGGGGCTGGGGGCATGGCGGGGGGCCGGGGGAGCTGCCTGGACGGGTCTGTGTGGGGCGGAGGACGGTCAGTCCCGCAGAGAAGCAGAACACCCTTGTGGTACAACAAGGTGCCGCTGCTTCGGTCAACAGGTTGAGACTTTAACCCGCTTCTCCCATTGCATTTCGTTTTTGGTTTTTTTTCTTTCTCCCTCCCATGAAAATTAAATTTGTTTCTTCTATCTCTGTCTTCATCTACTTGTTTCTTGGTGTCTCCTCTCCCTGAAGATCACTACATTTCAAGCTATCAGAAAGGTACCCAGCTAGAATTTGCTACAAGCTTAATTTTCACTGCCTGTGCCACCAGATTCCTTGGAGTGGATTTGAATAGCTGACTAGTTGGGCAGTCTCTTCATCCCCTTTCAGTTTTAACATAAGCTCCGTGTGTTTTTTAACCCTTCTGCGTTCCTCCAGGAACTTGAGAAACGGGGTCACGTTTCTATCTGACTTCTGAATGCAGCCACTTAGTGCATGGCTGAGCCATCGGTGCATGTTAGACCTCCGGTTTGGCTTGTACTGTCCTAATGTGTAGTTGGGCCATGTGAGGAATCTCAGCTGAGAGGAGATGTATTTGTTACCTCTTTTACTTTGATTTTTTGTTTGTTTTCAGTTACCCTCCATGCTTTTCTCTCCTGTTCGGTCCGTATAGCGGAAGGGGAGTTCACATATCTCACTTTGTGTTTGTGTGGGGTCAAAGCAGAGTTGCAAGGCTCCGGCCAGCCGTTCACTGTGCGTGTTGGATGCCAAAGCTGATGCTTGCGTGACACTCCTCCCTGCGGCGAGCACAGCCCGGTGTCTGCAGTGTTCATCCGCAGTCAGATTCGTCAGTGTTCTGCCTTGCAAAACTGTGTCTACATGGCTGAGTCATTTGTGTTACATCCTGTGTAGTGTGATCAAACCTGGTGAGCTTCGAACGAGACCTACCCGATCCGTTTCCTTTGGTGGTTCTACTCTCTTTAGACCTTTTTTTAAGTCCGTGTGTCATCTCGTTGGTGTTGCCCTTCTTGCTGCCATCCCGACCGCCATCCCTCTCAGCACTGTTCTCTCAAGAGTGTAGCTGTGAATCTGTAAACCATGATTTCTTTTCCTGGAGTCAGGCAGGTGTTTCATACTGACATCACCTGTGCCTGGAAAGCAGGAAACCTTAAACATGCTGCTGTTTTTGGTTTTTTTTTTTTCTCTCCCTAAGGTGGGACAACAGTCCGTAAAGAGATCATCAGGAATAAGATTAGAGCCATTGGGAAGATGGCACGTGTCTTCTCGGTTCTGCGGTAAGGAAGCAGCTGGTGATTTGGGGTCTGGGTAATGGGTGACATTGGTCAGGGTGCACCAGGCAGGCAGAGTCCTGTGGAGGAAAAACGGAAAAAAACCCCAAAACCTTACGAGTCTCTTGCTTCAGAGCGGCTGGCAGAGGCTTGAGGTGGTGGTTTCTGCGTGCCAGGCGGGCTGACTCTCTCAGAAACCTCCATCTCAAGCACCGGCACCTTTTACAGAATCCCTGAATCATCCAGGTTGGAAAAGACCCTGAGGCTCCTCCAGCCCAACCATGAACCTCCCCCTGACCGTTCCCAACTCCCCCAGATCCCTCAGCGCTGGCTCAGCCCGACTCTTCAACCCCTCCAGGGATCCCGGGGACTCCCCCCTGCCCTGGGCAGCCCATTCCAACGCCCAACAGCCCCTTCTGCACAGAAATCCTTCCTCAGAGCCAGCCTGACCCTGCCCTGGGCAGCTTGAGGCCATTCCCTCGGGGCCTGGCGCTGGGGCCTTGGCTCCAGAGACTCCTGGCAGGGAATTGCAGAGGGCCAGGAGGTCTCCCCTCAGCCTCCTCCAGACTGAACCCCCCCAGTTCCCCCAGCTGCTCCCCAGCAGACCTGTGCTCCAGACCCTGCCCCAGCCTGCAGAAACGCTGCTGCTGAGGTATATTTAACCCTCCCTGGCTGCATTTGCTGAGCCGTAGCTGGTGTGTCGTGGCTGAGGGAGCAGAGGGCCCATGTTCAGGAGGCCCAGCAGGTCCGTGGTCAGCACGGGGCAGACTCTGGTTTCCATGCCATTCGCCGCTAACAGTCGCATGGACCAAAGCAACCGTCGTGTCCATCTCTCAGTAACCAGCTGCGTTGCCTTTTCTTTGCAGAGAGGAGAGCGAGAGCGTGCTGACTCTCAAAGGCCTGACTCCCACAGGTACACTGCCCCTGGGGGTGCTCTCAGGGGGGAGGCAGACCCTGCAGACCGGTGAGTACAGCCCATCCTCCCCTTTGCCGTTTCATACCTGGCCCCTCAGCTGCCCCAAAAACCATTCCGTCAGTTCCCGTAGGCGTGTTTCAGGGTGCCAGGGGACCCGAGAGATGCTTCAGGCCCACGGGGAGGAAGGATTCAGAAATAGGAAAAAGCAGAAATGTAGGTGGGGATGTGGAGAGCCTTCCAAGATGTCCCTGTGTAGCCTTGAGGAAGGGAAGAAGAAAAAAAAAAAAAGACAACAAACAGCACCCTGCCTAAAGCATGTGTATTGCTTCATTGTATGTTTCTGCAGCAATTTTTATCATTTATTTCCCTTCTAACGCTGCATGTTGAGCATCCTCTGCCTCACCTCCCTGCTGCTGCTGTGTGATGGCCTATATGAGCGTAATAGTAAACACACCTGCTTGCTGCTTCTTCATTAAACAAAACCCTCTCCAATTTTGACCCTATAAAGTTGTGAATCCCAAGCTGAGGAAGCTTAAATTTAGTTAAAGGAAGGAGATTCTTCCAGACCTGTATTTTTCATCTTAAGGCTTTGCTCAGCCCCCTGGTTTTGATCTGATGTTGGAGGTTTCTTTTCCGTGCTTGCTGGCAAATAACTTTGCTCCCTCTCTGAGCAGCCAACTGCTCTCTCCTAGGAGTGTGCTGCGAGCGAGCTGCCTGCTCTCAACTCGCAGGGGCAGGGAGATTGGCTGATGGTCAGGGAATGAGTTATCATAGTAACATGTGTCCCCAGAGGGAATCCTGTAATCTAGTGTTTTAATCCTTTCCTACCGCCAGCCTTTGAATGCTGGCACCTCACCAGCCTGCTTTCCCCTTCCTACCAGCGCTGGGTATTTCCTGCAGGCTCAGGAGAGGGCTCGGTCAGGGATTGCCTTGCCTAGATTAAATAGTTCACAAGGGAGAAATGTGTAAATATTGCTGCCCGCTCCTGGGGTGGGGAGGATGTGGTATCGTTCCCAAACCCATGGGTTTCTCTGCTTGCAGAGGAGCATGATTTTTATGATTTTTTTTTTTTTTAATTATTTTTTTTTTTCTAGCAGCCCTAATGGTTTCTGTCGCCCCAGTTCTGGTGCAGGCACGGGAACAGAGCCTGAGTGGGAAGGCGGCTGCTTCAGCTCAGCAGCTCCTCGCTCATGGTGCTGCAGCTTTGCCCCCGTAGCTGAGAGCTCAGGTTGTGCTGCGACGCTCTCCTGCACCTTCCCCTCTCAGGGTGGAGGTCCTCTGAGGGGCTACCAGGCAGCTCCCTCCCAGGAAAGGAGCTGAGATTTGGGCATTTTCCCCAAGACAGGGCAACTAAGCTGGACCGTTGCTGCTGCCTTACCCAACCCTGCCTGCCGCCTCCTCCTGTGGCCGTGGGCTTCCTGCCCCTGCTGCTCCCGGCACCCTGTGCTCTCCTCAGCAGCACCCCGCTTTTTTGTGCCACTCTCATGCTCCTTTCCCCGTTGTTCCTCCTTCTCTCACCCCTTCCCCTTCCCCTTGTCCCTTCGCCCCGTGCCCTCTGCTCACAGCAGCCTCCCGATGAATGTACAGGTGCTCCTTTGGCAGCTGTGCTGGGAGCCCGTCTGCTCGGCGGGGAGAGGAGGGGACTGCCCCCCTTTTGGGGTGCTTCTGCGCCCCAAAAGAGGAGAGACGGGGCTGCAGGTCGCAGCGACAAGGCCCCTTCCCTCCCTGAGCCTCCTGCGAACCTCTGGCAGCACAGCTTAGCAAAATCAACTTAAAGTCACTGGATGTGGAGCAAAAATGTTCAGCCACGACTCCGTCCTTCCTCCATGGCCTCTCAAGGACCACGTGGCTTTTGTATTGTGTCCAAAGCAAAAAACTGATGTTTTGAGGCTAAAAGTGGGGGATGTATTCTAGGGAAGGACCTCCTCCCAGATGTTGAGGCAGGGACTACCAAAACTTGGACAGCTGCTGCAGCACATTTAAGAAGGGGGACATTGCTCAGCTTTATGGTGCCTTGTTGCTTGGTAACACTTTTAGGAGATGGAGCTGAAGCCAAACTGAATTTGAAGCATCAGCCTTTTTTTTTTTTCTTTTTGTTATAATTCAAGGCATCGGGAGCAGACCGACCTGGTATCTGCTGGTGCCTGCCCTCCCCCAGAGAACAAACTGCCCCTCTCTTCCCCCACGTCCCCCGGGGTCACTTCCCTGTGGATCTGGTGGTTGGGGCTTTGCTTTGGGCTGAATTCCACCTAATTTACCTTCTGAAGGTGGCCAGGGTGCCCTAGAGCCACCAAAGTGGGAGCAGGGAGGCTGGAAATGCAGGTGAAGACCCAGAGCTTAGTCTGAGACTATCCCTGTCCTTGCCGGGGTCCGCCTGCGCGCCCGAGCCCTCCAGCACACGCAGCAGAAAACCGTCTCTCTGCTTCTCTCTCTTTATCTGTGTGACGAGTCCAGCGGACACGAGGAAAGGAGACTCCCCCGTGCCAGTGCTCAGCAGACACTGAACCCGAGGGAGTCCCCTTTCAGCCTTCCTCTCAAGCTCCTGTCACCTTTTTTTTTTTTTTTTTTTTTTTTTTTTTTTTTTTTT